ATCATCATCATCAGCATCATCATCATCATCATCATCACCATCATCATCATCATCATCATCAAGTGTTTCGCCAGCTGGCGTAGACGTTCATGCATCTCCACAGATCTCGGTCTTTGGTGTTCTGGGTCAATTCCACTGATGCCATTCCTCCATACCCCTGTCTGAAGCCATCCACCATCATTAATCTCGGTCTGCCTCTGCCACCTACTATCATCACGAAATTTTTTCTGTGCTTCTCTTCTCATCACACAATAGGATGATAACGATGATGATAACGATGAAGAAGTGAGGACCCATTTCAGTCAATTTGGCGCATCGAGCATAAACCAGCCAGAAGAGCTAGAAACAGAACCTTTTATCTCCCTCGACACCCACAGCGATAAAAGAGGAAGTGAAGAAGAAGAAGAGCATTTACCGTTAAACAAATTTTTGTGTGTGTCTTTACAGATCAGTTGTATCGATGGGTAATCTGACCATCACAACACCCGCCGACCGCCTTCACTCCCTCGCCTTTTATTTTTCCTTCAGTTTTGTGGATATTTAATCACAATTCTACATTAACATACAGTAAAACGAATGTCCATGACGTTAAGTCACAGTGTAAAGGGCACTAGAACATAAAATAAATACACGTGAAATGCGCTGTCTCCGCAAGGTCACTTCAAACAGAAGAAGAGACAGTGTTACGAGTACCTGCACAGAAAGTTGGAGAAAGACCATGCCTGGATTATATTGACAGACAAATAATGAAGTGGTTCGACCATGTAGTGAGAATGCAGCCAAACTAAACTGCATATCAGACTTTTTACAGCAGAAAACCTGGAAGGGGGGCAAGATGAAAACCAAGAAAGAGGTGTATCACTGGTGAAAATTAAGAACAAAATTTTCTTCTTACGACGTAATTTTTTGTTATTTGAAGCCCCACTCTGGCTTTTGCCAGGGGCCGCAATATAGGCAGGCCATCAATATGGCCAATTGTCTGAACGCGGTTTCTGGGACCTCTCCACGGTGATCCTCATCCGCATGGTGGCACTTTGTGTCATCGGGTGTTTATCGCTTGTGTGATGTCCTGGTGGGGTAGAAAGTCACTCAGTCAGTATCACTGGTGTAGTTTAAAAACCAGAATTAACAAATCCATCACTCAAGGCACCCGACAAGCGCAACACAAATACAGAAAATCATGAAACTGGGCTACAACATTGTATCAGTGAGATCACAGAAGAAGAAGAAGAAGAAGAAGAAGAAGAAGAAGAAGAAGAAGAAGAAGAAGAAGCGGAGGAGGAGGAGGAGGAGGAGGAGGAGGAGGAGGAGGAGGAGGAGGAGGAGGAGGAGGAGGAGGAGGAGGAGGAGGAGGAGGAGGAGGAGGAGAGGAGGAGGAGGAGGAGGAGGAGGAGGAGGAGGAGGAGGAGGAGGAGGAGGAGGAGGAGGAGGAGGAGGAGGAGGAGGAGGAGAAGAAGAAGAAGAAGAAGAAGAAGAAGAAGAAGAAGAAGAAGAAGAAGAAGAAGAAGAGAAGAAGAAGAAGAAGAAGAAGAAGAAGAAGAAGAAGAAGAAGAAGAAGAAGAAGAAGAAGAAGAAGAAGAAGAAGAAGAAGAAGAAGAAGAAGAAGAAGAAGAAGAAGAAGAAGAAGAAGAAGAAGAAGAAGAAGAAGAAAGAAGAAGAAGAGAAGAAGAAGAAGAAGAAGAAGAAGAAGAAGAAGAAGAAGAAGAAGAAGAAGAAGAAGAAGAAGAAGAAGAAGAAGAAGAAGAAGAAGAAGAAGAAGAAGAAGAAGAAAGAAGAAGAAGAAGAAGAAGAAGAAGAAGAAGAAGAAGAAGAAGAAGAAGAAGAAGAAGAAGAAGAAGAAGAGAAGAAGAAGAAGAAGAAGAAGAAGAAGAAGAAGAAGAAGAAGAAGAAGAAGAAGAAGAAGAAGAAGAAGAAGAAGAAGAAGAAGAAGAAGAAGAAGAAGAAGAAGAAGAAGAGAAGAAGAAGAAGAAGAAGAAGAAGAAGAAGAAGAAGAAGAAGAAGAAGAAGAAGAAGAAGAAGAAGAAGAAGAAGAAGAAGAGCAGGAGGACAAAGAAGAAGAAGAAGAACATAACGAGGAAGATGAAGAAAAAGAAATGACCTGCTAAGACCTGACACGCTTCAGTCGTTGATATACGACTCTGTTTTCCAAAACCAATACGTGAGAGCATGCTTGTGAAAAGTCGTAGAGTTGAGAGGTGGCAATAAATCCTAACGTTTGACAAGACTTCATCGCAGTGGTTCTCAACTTTTCTCACGCAGTCTTACTAACAGTTTGACTGCGTGGCCATGTGGAATCCTCTGGGCCGTTTTCTAGTTGACATCTTTATGGCACATTCAGAAGGACAAAATATCTATTGATATCGACAGCTTGATTCTCTACCAACGTAATGTGGGCGAAATACCACTCGTCGCCACAAACAAGCGACAAGCTTGTTCTTTTTCGCCTTCGCCGGATGTAAACTCTAGCGGATTGAATGTTGAATTGAGAATCGACATCATAGCACTCGGGACACTGCCATAAGTGCTCAGTCCCCATCTGTGAGCTGTGATGTCGATTCCTAATTCAACATTTAACATTCAAAGGTTAGTTTATCGTAATGACACTTGGACGGGCTTATGCGGACATTATTCAGCCGGGGTAGAAAAATTTGCATATGGGCTGAACTGATCGACGATTGAAGAAACGGGAGCCGCGTTAGCGCAGTCAATAGGAGGCTTGCTTTCCAATCCAGCTGCGACTCGCTGCAGCCACGGTCGGTGTTCGAAACCGGGCGGTACCCGGGGTTCACCCAGCCTCTAGGAATTGGGTACCAAAGTGACACTCTGGGGTAAATGGAGGAATGTCGCTGTAGCTACAGAGTTATGTGCGGACGGCGACACAGGCGGACAGTTTCTTATCAGCTGTCCGAACTGGTGGCAGAGCACTTATGGTTTATAACCATGTGCAATGCCGCTGGTTCACATCTCCCGACTTTGCCTTTACCTTTATTAACTGAGTATATTCCACGGTAAAAGCAAAGCAAAATACTAATGACGACAACAACAACATCTCAACAGACACGATTCAGGCGACTGGTCGGAAAGATAACCCGTTGTCCATTGGGTGCCACATTTTAAATTCTCATCACATCGTATATAATAACAATGCTTTTTGAATTATGTATTTAAAAAAAAAAAAAAAAAAAAACGCAGAATGCTGCCCTATTTGAAAACCACATTAATAAACCAATTTAGTCCAGAATTATGCAGACAAAACGATATGGTCGTGAACCTGCCTTTGCCAGAGTGAATAAGGCAGTTACTTTTGAATGTAGTCGATTTTGTGTTTCAGCTAGAAGGATTCACATGTTTGCTTTATTTTATTCAATTGTTAGTTTAGTATGCATCTAGTGAGATACAACGAAATATGTTGGGCAATAAATTGCGCAATCTAGTGTTTGTGTCTTCTTTGTTCGTTCTTAACTTGTTGTATTTTGACCTGGAACAGTTGATAGCGGCAATTCTTAGAGTCTCAATTTAAAATATTATTCTCCTCATTCATGAAAGGGTCACTGACACGCTCCATTGGGGTCTCTCGACCCAACAAATCGGAGTTTAGCAGTCCCTAATTAGTTGCCTTTTGAGATGCGCTTGTGAAGGGGCAATGGGTCTATTCTTTTTATCCTACAAACTGGGATCTCGAAACCCATTTAAATACTCCATTTAAATGGTGTTTAATTATTTAATTGTCAAGTCAGTGTTATTTTTATCATCCTCATCCTGTGTGTCGTTGGGTCACAAGTTGATGTTGTCTGTCTGATCACCTGCCACCACGGTTGACGGTCAGATGCGATGGACTTCACGGCTGAATGCTCACCGCGTGGGTTCCGGGGCCTCACTGTGGGGGAAAAAAAATAGACCAACTGCCTCCCCAACAAGCAAATTGGGAGTTTCCTTCTAGGGCTATATCCCCACATTGGCCTGAAGGTCTTAAAAGGGTGCTTTACTTTTAACGCTTTACAACACGCAGTCAACGCTTCTATCTTCGAACAAAGAAGACACAAACAATAGATTGCATAATTTATTGCCTGGCATATTTCGCTGTATCTCGCCTGGGGAATAGTACAGTAACAATTACATAAATGAAGCAACTAAGTGAATCCTTTATAACTGAAGTACAGTTTCAACAACGATCAAACATGACTGTCTGTTTTTACCAGGGCAGTCGTAAAGACATCTTTCTTGTATCTTCCTCTAACGTTTCGCTGGCAGCAGCAGTAGCGGGAAGAAAAAAGAGAAAGAAGAAAAAGAGAAAGAAGAAGAAGAAGAAGAAGAAGAAGAAGAAGAAGAAGAAGAAGAAGAAGAAGAAGAAGAAGAAGAAGAAGAAGAAGAAGAAGAAGAAGAAGAAGAAGAAAAAGAAGCATAAGCAGAGGAAGAAGAAGAAGAAGAAGAAGAAGAAGAAGAAGAAGAAGAAGAAGAAGAAGAAGAAGAAGAAGAAGAAGAAGAAGAAGAAGAAGAAGAAGAGGGCAGCAGTCATACAACTTGAGAACCACTGAGAAATTTAGTAGCTTTTGTTTATTGATGTCAGGCGATCATGAGGTGGTGAACGCTTGCCAAGACCAGCTCATTTGCATACCGTGACTATCTCTGACGCACACCCTGCGGACAGCAGATGTAGCTAGCATTCATAACCGTAAATGTAGCAGTGGAAACTAGCTCGAACGACCAATTCTAACACTCACTCGTATATCACAGTATTACTTTGTCGTTAATAGCTATAAGTGTTTTGTTTTCTTCTTTCTAAAAATTTAGACTTGTAATGATGTTTTTTATTTAAAATATATTTAATGTAAATTGAAAAAAAAAAAAAAAAGGATTTGCAAGTCCTTTTTTTTAGTCGCAAATCAACACCAGAATTTATTGGCTGCTTTGACCGTTCTATACAATTATATATTCAATATTTAGCCACTGCTTTCTAAAAGGTACGACGCGTATACCGTTGTTGGAATCAAGGCAAAGCCATGAGGATATTTGATATATTTGTAATTGCACTAACCTGCCTAACAAGTCTCCTGGGCGCACAAGGTGACAGCGATGAAGGTAAGTGAACGATCACATTATTGCTTACTTTCTTGTCAGGATTCCCCCCCCCCCCCCAGTATCCAAAAACCATTAGTTATTAACCCTTTGACTCGGTACTATGGATATCGCAACCCCTCGACCTTGATTCCATGATAGGTACCGTAAATCTGGGAGAAATGTGGCTTTTCTGCCTACCCCGGGCGTGAACCCGGACCACAAGGGGTTCGTCACCCGGTTTAGTCAACTATACTAGCGAGCTGGGCTTCTTGTCAGGATAAACATCAGCAAATGTTCTAGCCACCTGTCGCTAGTTTTTGCTATATTTAGCAACTTATTGTCGTCTTAGTTTAAAGGTGACCATCGTCATCATCCCGCAACACCGCGTGTCGTTGGGTCACACGTTGCTGTTAACTGGTGAGATCCATCCACTTTTGACGGTCAAATGCGTTGGACTTTATGGTCGCACGCCTAAGGCCTGTCCAGTCAAGTTCTTTTTTTTTTGTTTTTTAGTCTGCCTTTTCTCCCTTTTCCCTCTACTGAGCCCTTTAGTATTGTTATTGTGAGGCCGTTAGATCTCATTACAATGTCCATACTATTGCATTTTCACTGTAGTTTAAAGAGGTTCATAGTTGCCAATGTACTCGATTATTATGCAACAAACCTCGTCATTTCTGATGGGGTCTCTGTATGATATGCCAAAATTTTTTTCGGAAAGATCGCATTTCCAATGCTTGAATCTTCCTTTCGAGTTCAGCTGTTGAGGTCCCCGTTTCACAGCCATATGTAAGTGCACTAATAACTACTGCTGTTAGCGATCGAATCTTAGTTTTACATAAAATGTTATTAGATCTCCACACTGTTTACTGTCTGGCAAGGACGGATGTCGTCTGGGTAATCCTAGACATGATTTCTGGTCTGGCATAAAGATGACCATAGATTGGTACTATTCAAAGGTTGGACCACGAACTGGGCTACAACCTGGAACCAGTGAGACAATACAAGAAAGAAGAAAGTGTCAAAACACCTTGCGGCTATTGGAGGGGTGAAAAAGAGAGGCGGGGTTTCTTCAGTGTCTGTATTTAACGCTTGTATATTTCTATCCATGTAACTAATGAAGAACAGTGGTGAGATGCCACCTTCTTGTCTGACACTTGATGAGATGGGCAACGAGTCTCCCATCCGTTTTGTTGTTCTTACTTTGCAATGATCATTTTTAGTCAAGTTGCCTGACCTTTGCTCTAGAATACTAAATCTTTAGAATTGTCCGTAGTTTGCATCTGTTGACTCGATTAACTGTCTTCTCTTGATCTTTAAATATGAGATCTTGACTTGTATTGTGTTCAGTAAATTGCTCAGAGAAATACTGTATCTGTGCAAATACGAATTGTTTCTTATTTAAACGGGGTTCTTGTACCGGTCACGCTCCCAGTTCTGGTGATTTTGCAAACCTTTCCAATGTGGCTCAAGATGGAAACACCTTCGTAAGTTTCCTGATCTCGTTTGTCTTCTTCATTTTTTCCAAAATTGGAACGCTGATTGCTCTTTGCCAGTCTGTTCGGACCCTCCCTGCCTCCAAAGCTATGGTAAAGATTCTGTTCAACCAGGCTGTTGCTGTTGTCTTACATGCAAGGGGCATTTCTGTTGTAATTCAATCTATTCCCTCGGCCTCGTTTTTGCGTTGTTTAGGGTCATTTTTAGCTTCAGATCTTTGGTTCGTGGTCTTTTGCAGATTTATTTTGGTGTGGTACTTCATCATGTGTTCCAGTTTAACAGCTCACTGAAATATTCCTTCCATCTGTTTTTAATTTCTTGACTGCTGGTGAGTGATTTCTTACTCTTGCTGTTTATAATAGTGGATGGGGTAAATTGTTCTTCTTTCAGTCTCATCGCCTAGACACTTCTGAAAAACTTACTTGGTAACTTAGTGCATAGTTTTGCTACTTGTTTTCTATAGTCTGTCTGCTCAGTATTCTGAGTTTTGCTATGTTCACTTTCCTTTTGCTGCCGCTTCTCGCTTGTCTATAGCTGATGTAGTCTTGGTCTGATTTTGTCTTCTGCCACTTATAAAAACATGTTTTCCTGCATAAAAATAGTAATGTTTTCATTCCACCATGCTGTATATTTTCAACGAGTGCCCCGCGTTTTTAAAGGGCAGTTCTCTATCACTAAAAGCAGGGGAAAGGATTTACAAATGTACTACTACATCATCATCATCATCAGGTGCCTTGCCGACTAGCTTGAACGATCATGCCTCTCCATAATCCACGAATTCCTGCAGCATGTATCAGTTCGTGTGCCGACACACCTCCAAGCCATGCAACAAGACTGTCAAGAATCTTCTCTCGTTGTCTTCCTCTATCCCTCCTTTCACAGATCTTTCCATTGGTCACAATATGTTCTATTTTCCCTCTTCTAATGAGATTCTAACCGGTGTTGAAGGAGATTCCAACAGGTGTTGAAGGAGATTCTGGCTGGTGTTTAATGAGATTCTGGCCAGTGTTAAAGGAGATTCTGGCTGGTGTCGAAGGAGATTCTGAATACTTTGTCTATTTCCACTGCAACTTCTTTATCTTCTAGTTCTCAGTGTTTATAACGTCTGTTTGTTAAATTGATTTCGTGGGATGTGTTTCAGCTGGTTTCTGGAGCTAAAGTAGCAACTGGTCTATGGCTGGAATCTTTTAGTTCATTTGGATTAACCCTGGAATTCTGTTAGCTATTCCATCATGACAGTTATAAAGAGCTCAGAGCCCGAGTTCAGCCACAGACAATTTCTCTTTGTGGCAGCGTACCTGTCAGAAATAATTGGGAACAGAAGGAGCAGACGACTATTCAAAGATACGATGACCAACCCCACATGTGTTATAAATTCTCTTTAAAACTATTTGTTTATACATCATATTATTTAAAATGTATTATAATATTGATTTATCATTCAGGACACCATTATTATCATTATGCTCTTAAACTAGGATCAGGCCTATCGAGTCACTTTTTTGAGTAGAAAATGTGTATTGCTGGAAGTGGGGGAGGGGGGGTGTCCACATATTTTCTCTGTGTCGGCGCGCCTTGTGTGCGCGCGTGTGTGTGTGTGTGTGTGATACCTTTTTCCACACCTTCAGTCCTATTGGGCTAGTCCTACATTTTATAGACCAATCGGCGCTCAGTTGGTGATGTGGTTAACATCACACCAGCCGCATTTACTTTCCATGATTTTATCTGATACACATTTAAGACTGGTTCGACCTGCGAGCCAGGGTCGTCGGATTTGAACCCACGACATTCGCACCAGCAGGTGTGCGTCTAGTCGCTAGACAAGGCTTCCTGTCTTTGTTCACCGCTTTCTTTTGTACTTCTGACTACTTCTCCAGATGACTGTGAATTCATCAAGTCATTACCGGCAAAGTCCGACTCGAAGACACTGGAATTTACTGTGAAGGACAACACTTATCCCAGGTTAGAAAACCAATTTTGTAATTGATACAAAGACAATCTTTGTGATTTTGTTTTAAATTGTAGTTTATTTTTGAGAGGGGAAAAAAAAAAGTAGTATAAGTAGTAATAGCGAGGAGCGGCTGGCCGAGCGTTTAGAACGCTGGGCACTCAAGCGGGTGACCCGGGTTCGAATCCTCGGTAAGGCTGGGGATCTTTTCTGTCGGGGGCAAAATAAAATCCTCACCTGCACAGTCGTGGCGACAGCACTAGCCATGCGGCCGTAAATTCTCAGGCTGAAAGACCCCCTGCCTACACCGCAAAAGTGGTATAATAAAGCCAGTAGTAGTAGCAGTAGCAGTAAAAGTAGCAGTGGTGGTGGTGGTACTAGTAATAGTGGTAGCAGTGGTATTAGTAGTAGCACATAAATAAACCAATCGTATTCCTTTCTTAAAAGTTTGTGTAATCTAGACGAAGCATTAGGGTCTACTGCGTTCGTGAATTGTTGCTGTATTTGTTATTCGACCTATACTTCGTTAATATACATTTCTGTAACTTATGGTGCCATTTCAACGGTTTGAAATGAATTCTGTCAGTATTCCCAAGTTGTGGATTTCAAGCTGTACGATAGACACAGCCAATAAGACACCTTTTTTTAGGGGTGCCTAGCTGACTATATTCTTAGTGCACTTGTTTCCATAGCGAAGCGCACACGCCGTCTGGATGTTCGATTCCCGACACGGTAACTATAGCTTTTGATTTTTATGTTGTCTAGTGTGTTCTTCTATCTTTCTACTTCTTTATATGAGTGACGATCAATACATTGTCTGTTACTTATTATATTACTTTATTAATATATAGTAGTAGTAGTCCGATTGTTGCCATCTTTCTATCTTCCCAGACGTTAGTTTTATTTTGTGCTGTGGGGAAAGATTGAAGACACGACCTATAGTAGTAGTAGTGCGTTTAACAGTAGGACTACTAGCAGTTGGTAAAAATGATAATAGTGATAACAGTAGGAGAAACATCTAGAACAACAGCTGCAGTCGTAACAACAGTCAGCGCTTTTTCCCCAGACGCTACGCGTAACTGGCACCTGTTTTAGGTCTAATTTTTTTTTAGCGCTTGTATAATAGACACTCTATAGTGCGTACCGGAATATTTTTGTTTGTTTTTGTTTAGACACATTGCAGTGAGTACTCGCACCCTTTTTCTTGAGAAAAAAGAAGACTTGCAACAGTAGTAGTAGTAGTAGTAGTAGTAGTAGTAGTAGTAGTAGTAGTAGTAGTAGTAGTAGTAGTAGTAGTAATAATAGTAGTAACAGTAGTAGTAGTAGTAGTAGTAGTAGTAGTAGTAGTAGTAGTAGTAGTAGTAGTAGTAGTAGTAGTAGTAGTTGAAGTATTAATAATAATAGTAGTAATAGTTATAGTAGTACTAATATTAATAATAATAGTAGTAGTGGTAGCTGTAGTAGTAGTAGTAGTAGTAGTAGTAGTAGTAGTAGTAGTAGTAGTAGTAGTAGTAGTAGTAGTAGTAGTAGTAGTAGTAGTAGTAGTAGTAGTAGTAGTAGTAGTAGTAGTAGTAGTAGTAGTAGTAGTAGTAGTAGTAGTAGTAGTAGTAGTAGTAGTAGTATTAGTAGTAGTAGTTGAAGTATTAATAATAATAGTGGTAATAGTTATAGTAGTACTAATATTAATAATAATAGTAGTAGTGGTAGCTGTAGTAGTAGTAGTAGTAGTAGTAGTAGTAGTAGTAGTAGTAGTAGTAGTAGTAGTAGTAGTAGTAGTAGTAGTAGTAGTAGTAGTAGTAGTAATAATAGTAGTAACAGTAGTAGTAGTAGTAGTAGTAGTAGTAGTAGTAGTAGTAGTAGTAGTGGTAGTAGTAGTAAATAGTAGTAGTAGTAGTATTATTAGTAGTAGTAGTAGTAGTAGTAGTAGTAGTAGTAGTAGTAGTAGTAGTAGTAGTAGTAGTAGTAGTAGTAGTAGTAGTAGTAGTAGTAGTAGTAGTAGTAGTAGTAGTAGTAGTAGTAGTAGTAGTAGTAGTAGTAGTAGTAGTAGTAGTAGTAGTAGTAGTAGTAGTAGTAGTAGTAGTAGTAGTAGTAGTAGTAGTAATAGTAGTAGTAGTAGTAGTAGTAGTAGTAGTATTAGTAGTAGTAGTAATAGTAGTAGTAGTAGTAGTAGTAGTAATAGTAGAAGTAACAATATTAGTAGTACTAGTAGTAGTCGTAGTAGTATTTGTTGTTTTTAGTGTTGCAGTTGTTGTTATATCTTGCGTAGGCATCTCTTTTACAGATCTGGCTTATTTGTATGCAGACTGTTGGTTCCTCAACTCTCAGTCAATTGTACTCCGACTCCCCCCCCCCCCCCCCCAAAAAAAAAAAAACCAACAACAACCTAAAACTGGTCGTGTTTAGCAACATGCTTCTTGGAGGCAATTTGTCTCCCCCCCCCCCCCCCTTATCCCAAATAGGGCCCGTACCCAATAAGTGGCACAATTAAAGTTTTAGACGAACACGAAATCCCAGCAGTGGGCGAACAACCATTTCTCTCCGCTTGAGTTTAGTCAGAGAAAGCTAAGAAGAAGCAGATTGCAACAGTAGCAAAGGCAATATCCCCAGGTGCCATAACCTTTTCTCGTAAATCACAGAGGGAACTAATTAACACAGCACACAAACTCCCTACGCCAACAGGAATCTCAGAGTACCTAACCACTGGATCAGTTCATTTTTTCAGCGTTATCTATGTCCAGCACTTAGCCAGATGGCCAAGTCATTGATGTCTATCGACAGTTCTCGAAGTTTGCCGTTTCGGATTAGTTCCTTTTGATGATGTTTCTCTGCATTTCCGTTTTGCGGCTTTGAGTTAAGTTCTTGTTTGATGATACTTCTCTATACTTCCGGCTGAGACTATCCAACAGGGGCGGTGAAACCTGGTAATTTGAGCACTAACATCTTTAAAGAGGAGGCGTTGGTCTCACACCTAAAAGCATGTTTTTCATGTTAGGAGACTAAACTGTCCCTTTCTCCAACGACGTATTCAGATTTTAAAAAAAAGTCTTTGCTTTAAAATTTCATCATAATTCGAAAATATTAGATTTAGCTTCATCGTCTTATTATTATTAACCGTTTAAACTAGGCCTATCTCTCCACGATGCGCCCATGGAATTTGTAAGGGTGCTTAGAACGCACCCCCCTCCTCCGGTGTTTCCCTTATGTCGGCGCCATTGCTATCCAGTATTATCATTTTCGGCTTGCCCTTTTCACCGTTAGAAATGCACTCACATTCCAATATGGGACTCACATTTTCCTTATTTTATAGCCCCAACCCGGCTAAAGTCTGGGGGGACCTAATATAACCTAACGGTCGAACGAGGTTTCTGGGACTTGTGCCCGGGTGGTCCTCATGCAAATGTGGTGGCACTTTGGTCAGGGGTTGGTCGCTCGAGGTGCGGACCTAGTGGGGTTGAACGAAGGACATACATTTTTACCATTACTTGTCTAGGCTACGACCATACCCCATACAAAGTTAGTTTAGACAATATTCAGGATTGTACAAGTTGTGACTACAAAGGAACGACAGCAAAGATCACACACGTCTCACATTAGGGGTGCCTGTACATGGAGGTTCAGGCACATTGAGGCCCCACCCCCTCTTCGCATTTTTTGGTGTATGGGAGAGGAAGGATCCTCGGCTATTAATTTCTAAAAAGCATACCCCCCCCCCCCCCTTTTTTTTCTTGAAAAAGCGAAAATGCAATGGCTGTACCGAATAGTGATTTTCACTATTCGGCTGAATACGAATAACGGGACCAACTATTCGGCCGAATACGAATACGAATAGTGTATAGTGTATGAAATATATCTAAAAAGAAAAACCCACACACACACATTCATAATGGCAAATGTACGCTGAACTTTTACCTCACATTTTACTTCTCTGTCATCTGACATTCTTTCAATATGCCCCAACCATTTTAGCCTGTTAGCTCTAATGATGCCAGTGATCAGTGGTGATTTAAACTATAGTGATTTTCACTATTCAGCCGAATACGAATAACGGGACCAAACTATTCGGCCGAATACGAATATGAATAATGTATAGTGTATAAAATATATATTAAAAAAAAACTACATTCATAATGTCAAATGTACGCTGAACTTTTACTTCATATAAAGTAGCACAGAATAGTCATCTTCTTCTTTAGCATTCTGAGTCCTCGAGGTTTAATGCTGCATATATCACTCGTCTCCATTCATTTCTCTTTGTGACACCAGTTGTTTGCAGGTCTGGATGGACATTATCTCTCGAACTTCTTTTTTGTCTGTCTCGTGGTCTACGCCCATTCCTCTTTCAGGTGTATACAGTTTTTACTTCTTTGTATTTGGATATTGTCACTGACAGCTTAGTTAATGCAGGAAAGCTGCATTAGCTTTCAACAAAACCAATCGTTCCATGTTGTCAGCATTAAGGCCATATATGCAGAAGCTGGTGTAAGGTAACTACTATTATACAAATACAATATTATACGAATACAAAGCAAATGTTCGGTACAGCCCTAGTATGGATATGTAATAAGATCTAACGGCCTGTCAAAAACAATACTGCAGGGCTCAATAGAGGGAAAGAGGAGAAGAGGCAGACCAAGAAAGACCAGGTTACAGAACCTGGCTGACTGGACAGGCCTCAGGCAACCATGAAGTCCATCGCAACTGACTGCCAAAGGTGGAGAGAGATGATCAGACAGTCAACGGAAACTGGTGACCCAGCGACACGCAGTGTTACAGGATAATGATGATGATGAAACTAGAGGAACGGGGCATCGAAAAGTGCTCTAAATTAAGGGGAAACCATTTTGTTTTCAGGACGTCCATAGCAAAATTCTCCCCACTTGAAGGGGCGGCCCTGATGCTATCGAAAGAAGCAGACAGGGCACTAATAGAATGGAAGCTGTGAGTCCTTGAATAATAAGAGCATTGTTTAGAACAGCGAAACAGAAGGTGAACATGTCGGTAAAACTGTTACGCA